CTTTAAATATCTGGAAAATTCGGGGTGCCTAGATGGCTCAGTCGGTTAAGCATCTGCCTTTGGCTCAGGTCATGATCCCAGGATCCAGGAATCGAGTCCCAAGTCAGTCCCAAGTTGGGCTCCCTGCTCCTCAGGGAGTCTGCTTCTCTCTCTGCCCCTCCCCCCACTCGTTCTCTCAATCTCTCTCTCTCTCAAATAAATAAAATCTTTTTAAAAAATTGGGGTGCCTGGGTAGCTCAGTTGTTAAGCGTCTGCCTTCGGCTCAGGTCATGATCTCAGGGTCCTGGGATCGAGCCCTGCATTGGGCTCCCTGCTTGGCAGGAAGCCTGCTTCTCCCTCTCCCACTCCCCCTGCCTGTGTTCCCTCTCTCACTGTGTCTCTCTCTGTTAAATAAATAAATAAAATTTAAAAAAATCTTTAAAAAAATAAATAAATACCTGGAAAATTCATTTATATGGAAAATAAACGACAATGCCTTCATTAATTCATGTGTTGATTCAATGAAGGCTTGATTCTGTATATTCTATGTGTGTTTCAACATGACTTAAAGGACATTCTTTAACCAAAACTCCTTCAGCTCTGTAGTGATGAATTTGCTGTGGTCTGCATGGGACTTTTTATAGTTTTAGCCATCTAACTCCCACACTCCAAGAAACCCCTCAGTCCTGGGAAAATCAGGACAGTTGGTGGCTCTAGCTTCACAAAACATAGGGTGCTTTAAAGTTGCTTTTGGATGATGGTGCTGATTATAAATAGGATCTTTATCCTTTTAGAGAGGCTTAAGTCCTTTCTTAGGGAGAAAGAACTAGTTCACTTTCTGTTTCTACGGGAGCACCTCAAGCGATGGGGAAACTTTTTCCCAAAACCTCATTTCATTTTTAATTTTTTGTCAAAATTTTATACACTTCTTTTGCATTTTGAACTAAAAATCTATCTCAGTGAAGCTTCCACCCACTTTTTTAATACCATCCATTGCTGCCATATGAAATGAACTGAATCTTTTCCCCGTATGATTGCACTTTAAATATTTAAAGGACTCTTTCATGGCCCCAATATTTTCACCTTTGAACAACACATCTCCTAATCATTCAACATTTCTCAGATTCTTTTACCATGATTACTCTCTTCTGAATGCAGTTCAGTTTGGTCAGATTCAAACTGTAGCTTCTTAAGTTGGAGCTTTTAGAAATCCAATCAGCAGAGTAGGGTGGATATATCACTTCCTTTGTCTAGAATCTATGCTTCCTTTAATTCAGCTAAATATCTTAGTATTTTTCTTGGCAGTCACTAGCTTAGATTAAGTTCTACTAAAACGTCCAAGCATTTTTTTTAAGTTTTTATTTATTTATTTTAGTGGTCTCTACACCCACCATGGGGCTTGAACCCACAACTCAAGAGTCGCATGCTGTTCTGACTGAGTCAGCCAGGTCCTCCCCAAGCATTTTTCTGACATACTTCTGCTAGGTTATATTGTTTATATTCTGTACATGTAGTTATTTTTTTCTTTTTTTTAATTTTATTTATTCATTTGAGACACAGAGATACAGAGAGAGAGAGAGAGAAAGCATGAGCAGGGAGAGAGGCAGAGGGAGAGGGAGAAGCAGGCTCCTCGCTGAGCCAGGAGCCCGATGTGGATCTGGATCCTAGGACTCCGGGATCATGACCTGAGCCGAAGGCAGATGCTTAACCATCTGAGCCACCCAGGCGCCCCTGTAGTTATTTTTTTCTAGCTTGAAGTACAGGGTCTTACATTTAACTCTGTTAAACTAAATTTTCAATCGCCCTCCTTTTTTTTTTTAAATGTTTTATTTATTTATTCATAAGAGTCAGAGAGAGAGAGAGAGAGAGAGAGAGAGAGAGAGAGAGGCAGAGGCAGAGAGAGAAGCAGACTCCCTGCCTAGCAGGGAGCCCGATGCGGGACTCAATCCCAGGACCCTGGGCTCATGACCTGAGCCGAAGGCAGACCCTTAACCATCTGAGCCACCCAGGCGCCCCTCAATCGCCCTCCTCTTAAAAAAAAAATCACTCATTCTCAACTTTGTTTGATGAGCATATTTTCATGTCAATGATAGAACTGTTAAAAAGATAAGGCCTTCACTGGCAAACTTTATTTTGTATTAATCTGCTAACTAGTTACAATAATTTAGCCCATTTGTAGCTAACCTAATTTACAAATAATAATACATATTTTCTTTTTTTTTATAATACATATTTTCTTACTTCATTCCATACAAAACCAATGTGATAGGAAAGTGAAGTCAGCCATGATAGAAAATGCTTTGTGACAGAGAGGTATTTGCTACTTCTGTGGAATTGCTTTCTTAGCCACATCTTTAGGCCAAAGATAGCATGTCCCACTGTAATTCTCCACTTTGCTTACTGGGCTTGGCACTAAGTAAGTTTTGGTTATTAAGGAAGATCAAATCTTCTCTTAAAGAACAAAGATTTGGGGCATCTGGGTGGCTCCATCAGTCAAGCATCTGACTCTTGATTTTGGCTCAGGTCATGATCTCATGATCGAGCCATGCATTGGGCTCTGTGCTAGGCATGGAGCCTGCTGAAGATTCTCTCTCTTCCTCTCCCTCAGTGCCCCTCGCCTCTAAAAAAAAAAGAAAAAAGAAAAAAAGATTTGTCCAGATGAGTTCAAGAGAGGAGTCCTGAATAGGCTGAGGAATAAATATACAGTCTTCCAAATTTATTCCTTTGAAGGAGACAATACTTTTTGGAAGCTCAAGGTTTGCTGTGTTTGTTAAACCATCAGAGACAGTTTAAGCTAGTAGTCACATACATTAGGTTTGGCCTGGATCTACCACTTGCCAACTGTTTTATTTTGGGCAAATATATTAATGTTTAGCACAGTGCCTAGCATCTAGTGAGAGCTCTAGAGAGAAGAGTAACTACTATTTATTAAGCAACATTTTGTGTTAGGTATTACATACGGGCCTAGTATACATAAAGTGCTTAACACGCTGTCTCATTGTCTCCTAACAATTCCATGAAGTAGACACTTCTGTTATGCCCAAATCACAGATGAGAAAATTGAGGCACAGAAAGATTATGCAATTTGCTTAAGTTAGAAGTGAAAGAAAAGACATATACATCAAGTCTATCTGACTCCAGACCAGGATCCCAAACATAATTCTATCCTGCCAGTCCCTGAATACAGACAAAACCCTGATAACGTTGGCAGTCTGAGTAGTAAAGATATTGATCACCGGCCAGTCAAGGAGTTTCCAGGAACCACAAAAGGTCCTCCATGATATGGTCTTATCTTTCATCAGAGTGAGGTTCTGGCCCTTAGCCCTAAAGGCTTAGAAATCCAATCTGTTAACACACAGATCGTGAATTCTTCTCCCAGAGCCTGGTATTCAAATCCAGAACACCAGTGTATTCATAATGAAAATTATGAATATAAATAGAAAGAAATATAATAGCTAAGGGCTAAAACATTCATATCCTGGGGTGCCTGGCTGGCTCCATCAATACAGCATGCAACTCTTGATCTTAGGGTAGTGAGTTGAACCCCCTCGTTAGGATTACTTAAAACATAAAAAATAAAATAAAATAAATAAATAAAAACATTCTTGTCCTGTGACCAACACTTGGAAATCTGATTCTAAGAGCAGGTTGCTTATGGAGTGTGGAACTAGAAATAAGGATGTCTGTTTTATGCGTGAATGTTTGATAGAACAAAATCCATCCAACTCCAAAGCAGCAATTTACCTGCTTCCAAAACTGAACAGACCAGTGTAACCTCTCACCTAAAAACACTTGGATAAACACCATCAGGATTTGCCTCCTAGATCCTCTTCCTAAGTTTTCAGGGCCGACTCATGCTGACTCTATGTTCTTTCTTGAACTGAGGTTAATTTTTTTTCAGGTTACAGCATAATTCTTTTTTACTAAGATTCTGAACAGCTATACTTAGATGCATTATGCATTGATTTGCAGGTTTAAATCTAAAAGGGCAGCTGGACTTCCAGGTTCTTCCGGAGGGGAGTCTGCTCTGAGGCCACAAAGGACTCAGAGAAGCAATGAGAGACAGACCCCTCTGATGGAAGCTGCCTTCTCTATGAACCTTTTGCTGGGGGCGCCTGGGTGGCTCAGTTGCTAAGTATCCGCCCTCAGCTTGGGTCATGATCCCAGGGTCCTGGGATAGAGTCCCGCACGGGGCTCCCTGCTCAGTGAGAAGCCTGCTTCTCCCTCTCCCACTTCCTCTGCTTGTGTTCCCTCTCTCGCTGTCTCTCTCTGTCAAATAAATAAATAAAATCTTTAAAAAAATAAAAAATATTAAAAAAGAAAAAGGAACTTTTGCTGGTTGGCTCTCCAGCTTCAGAAACAGACTGTTGCTAGCAATTTTCACCCACCTACTACAGTCTAAAAGGTAGCAAACACCGTTTCTGTAGCTACTGAAAGAGACAGGCTTGTTGAAGATTTACATGGCTCTGTTGACCGCCTGGCTATGCCAGCTCTGGGGGAAATCAGTGTACAGGGTGTGAAATGATTTTTTTCTTGGCTCTTTGCTGTAGGTCCAGGCAGCTATGGCAACAGCAGCGGTTGCTCCTCTCGTGCAGAGACTTCCAGAATGCCTGGGAGTCTCCTGCTGATAACAATATGGAATGGCTGGAACCAAAGAGGTTGGAAGCTCTACCAGCTACAGCAGCCGAGATTTAAAGCAGGGCAGTTACCCCAGAACCTTTGGGCTCAGGGTAACTTCAGAACCTCCAGGCAAGGAATGGATGCCTCACTGTGTACACGTGCCATGTGACAGCCATGCACAGCAGATCATAAGGAAAGTACAGTGTGGAAAAACTCCTCTCCTCTCCTTCTGCAGGTGAGGCGTTTCCGTATTTTCAGACACAAAGCAAAGGCAGAGCACCCGGGGGTGGGGGGCGGGAGAGGAGGGGGAGGGATTTTCCCAGCATTACTGGGAAGGTACAAGAACTGAAGCCCTTGGCTTTCAAGGCCTACCATTGCCAGTTCCGTTCTACAGGATGGAAAGAATCTCAGGGAGCCCCAGAGTTCCTAGTGCCCGGACACATGACTGCACAGCCTCTCCCTGAAAAGATCTCTAGATGATGCTGGGAGAGAGGGGGAGGGCTGATCAGGGAAGTCAAGATACAGTTACTAATTCTCTTCACTGAAGGCCAACCGGGGGACTAGACAATCAAGTCCACTCACTCAAGATGCCATGATTTCTTACCATATGCCACCTCTCCCCAACATTCATACATTAAAATGAAGTTCCCGTCAGTGTTTAGGGGTTAACTGAGTAGCAAGACTTGGCCCTTTTACGACTCCAGATTCTTGCAACTTTGTTTTCTGAACACTCCCTTCTTGTCTTAATTGGCCCTACCCATTGAGGTAGATTCCACATCTTTCTCCTGTATCTTTGGATTGGCTAAAGCCTCTGACCCTTCCACTGCAGAGTCTAAAAGCAGGGAGATGGCCAAAATAGGCAGTCAGGGAAGAACGCAGGCATTCCTATTGCATCTGCTCAGTCTCTCAGCAATCCTCATGTCAGGGAATCTCTCAAGTTTACAGGCTGGGGCCACAGAATCTCCCCTTCCTCACTCACTGTGCAACGCATGGAGCAAGGTCTCTCAGAGGCTATCTGCCGAGTAGTGAAAGTCGGGGATGCTGTTGTTGAATGTGGGCGTTTTCCAGCAGCTCTATTCTAGATATAATTCCTCAGAGCTGCTCCCTGGCTCTGCGTTAGCTAGGTTCTCGATGACTCCCAGCATGACTCCCTCCCCTTTCTCTTGTTGTCACTGGCTGTCAGGGGAATTGCTGTTCATGGCTTCCACAGGTAACTCCTATTATAATTGTTGTTGTTGTTATTTTTAATACTTAGAGAGCTGGCACACACAGTTGAAAGACTTCCACAAAGCCAGGCAACAGGTTACCACTTTAGCAAGTCTTGCTCCACTGATCGATTCAAAGGCATCTGTTGAACATTGGCAAGTGCAATGTACCACCTGATGATGTGGAGGAGAACAAAGATGAATGAGAGAAGGGATTCTCTCCTCAAAAAAGGCCACATCATAATGGAGACATAGGTGCACACAGAAATCACTGTAATAAAAGGTAAGTATGTAAGGACAGGTCACTGTTATACTCTCCACACCTGGAAAAGTTAAAGGTGAGAATTTTCACCTACCAGGCCACTAGCCATATGCCTATTGATCAGCTGGGGTAGTCTGAGTCTGTTTTGGCCTCAGAAGCCAATGCCAAGATGAACTGTAACATGTTAGGCACCATAAAGCAAATATTTTGTAATGCTCTAGGTGTATGTAACAGGAGCTCAGTGTGTTAACACTTTCCTTTAAAGGGATCTCTTTTAATTTAATGAAGTGGGTTGACTGCCATTCACTTCCCTTTAATAGCAAGAGAAAGAGAAGTTGAACTTCTCTTCCCTGTTCCTCAGGGCAACTAACAAGAGAACAAACAGGGTTCAGTACCAGGAATAAAGTTGACTCATACTCTTAGGCTTTCTCTCCTTTTAGAACACATTGATTGAAGACTTGGAATGGGATAACATTCATTCGCATAGAGAAACAGATGAGGTCGCCAAGGAAGAGAGGGTAGGGAGGGAACAGGGAAAATGAGGTGAAGGAATAGGGACAGTGGCTGTTGTACTACCTTTGACAAAGTCTCTTCATCTCAGAAGAAAAGATTGTTCCAGGAAGATCATATTCTAGGCAGCATGATGAGGATGAGTAGAAATCATATATCCTGGTCCACCATTCTAGGAGAAGAGAGTAAGTCTTGTGGCAACATGAATAAATACATTTTTGTGGCCTAGTACCAGCCCAAGGTCCCCAGGTCTACAAAACTTAAAAACAAACTAACAAGAGTAGGGGTACCCAGCTGGTTCAGTCAGCACAGCATGTGACTCTTGATCTGAGGGTCATGAGTTCGAGTCCCATGTTGGGCAGAGTTTATGTAGGAAACAAAAACCAAAAAGAGTCTAGGCTCTAACATATAGAATTAGTAGCAGAGAGGAGGTGAAGCTTTCCCAAGGCAGGAATCTAAAGGGTGCCACTAAGCAACCTCAGGTCAAGAGGTAAGAACCTAGAACCCAGGAGGTGGCCTACAGTATACAAAAGATTTGTAGGAGACAGGGGTGCCTGGGTGGCTCAGCCGGTTAAGTGTCTCTTTATTTTGGCTCAGGTCATGATCTCAAGGTTGTGAGATGGAGCCATGCATCGGGCTCCACGAGGCTGCTTAAGATTCTCTCTCCCTCTGCCCCTCCCACCGCCCACCCCCATGCTCTCTTTCTCTCTCTCTCAAAAAAAAAAAAAAAAAAAGATTTGTGGGGGATAAGGACACCGTATCTCTTCCATAAATTGAACTTCAAAATAGTGACACAAAAGAAAACAGGACATGAGGAGTTCCTACACTGGGTTCTTGGTTTTCTAGATAGAAGGGGTAGAAATCATGCCTCATCTTGCAGTGAATTCTTAGCCATTTTTTTTTCCTGCATCATTGCCCTTGCTGTTTCTCCTACTGCTCATAACTGTCACAAAGCCTTTACCTGGTATTTAAATGTTCATATGTTTGTTTTTATATATACTATAAACTACTTGAGGGCACTGATCATATCTTTATACCTTCGATGACAACTAGCTCAGTGTCTGTTCTCAGTAGGTCATTAAGAAATGTTGTTTGATTTGATGTTATAGGAGAATTAGGGTCAACAGCTGCAAAGGCTGGCAATCCATAGGTTTCTGGCCAAGAATTTCCATGAGGCAAGTCAACATTTGGCAATTACAAGGGCGTTCCAGTGAAGTGGAGTGTCAGATTTTGCAATAGTTCTGCAAATAAGATAGATTTTCTGGAGTGGCTGGGTTTGTGGAAAAACGTGGGCTGAATGGCAAAAAGTAATCTGGGTACTCACCTTTATAGCAATCATTATAGCAAGATATAATCTCCATTAGATTCAAATAGGAAGGAGTGACATTAATAAGTTTTCTTAGCAGTACATAGCATTATGTTAGGTACTGTACATGAAGAATATTTTTTTAATGCTATTATTGACCTCATGCTTAAAATCCTCAGGGGAATTTGTGTACATACCCAAACTAGTCAAAGAACAATATGAGTGTTACAGATTAAAGATTATAGCATTGCTGTTGGAGAAGGTGTCCTAAAAAAGGTAGTCTTGAGATGGGTCTTGGAAGTCCCCTAATTTTTGTAGGTCTTTGCTCCTTTGTGGCTTCACAAAGTTCTCTATCCTGTGGACATCTGAAACATAAAAAAGTTTATTGCTTAACCACCCTCCTTCATCCCCCACTACCAACTCCACCTTATCCCCAACTATTAGTATTCCAAGATAGCACTTCATATAGCTGGTGTAATAACGTGTTTCATTCATATCCTCTATCTAGCCTTTGAGCTTGATCATCTATAACCCTAACCTGTAGATTAAGCTTTGCTCCAAATCAAGCATCCCAATTCTTCCTGCTAGAAGAATATGAAGAGAGTGGGTCATTAGTTCAAACAGTCAGTCTCAAAGGTAATTGGGCTTTGGGGCGGTTTCTGCCTTTTATCTCTATTCCTCAGTACTAGATTTCTTGCTGGTAACTTTCCTTCCCCAAAATAGAGTTATGGCCCCCCAAACTATCTCCTTGTCACTGGGGCCTCTGGTTTCTACGACCATGTTTTTTGGATGCACTTTCTGTCACCTGAATCTGTATAAATTGCCTAGTGCCTGTTTAAATCCACACCCTGGATCTCAGATTCATTTTGGACTTTTTACCATTGATTAAAAACTTTCTGCATGGTCCTCTGGGGCTAGTTTTGGCACCAGAGTCACAGAAAAGATGGTACATTGGTAGCCCAAGGGTCTCTTATTTCAAATATTTCTGGACTACAAGGCAAGAATAAGTGAGAGGCTTCAGCTCTGTAATGGGCTCTTGGTCACCAACTAGTTTATGATCCAAACAATAGCCTTAGAAGATTTCTGCTTTAAAGTATGAGGCAATGAAAAGGGTATTTTATTAATACAGCCTAAATTGGATTAGATAGCAAGGTGACCATCAAGACACCATATGCCTTAACATTTACATCAGGTCAAATGAGATAATGTATGCAAAGCACCCAGCACAGTCCCTGGCACTCCCTCCCTTTGCATGTGGATTTGTTTACAGTTTAAAACCTTGTGAATTAGTTACTGCCCCCAGAGTAGTACCTTGACCCTAAAAAGTGGCACATCTGAAAAATTGCACAGCTGAGAGTCAGACTCAGGTCTTCAGACCCCAAAGCTAGTTCTGTTTGCCCTGCACCCCAGACTCTTCTTACTGCATTGTGCTAGACTGAAGATTGTGAAGGCCTGGATCAGAGTGCTAACGATGAGATGGAGATCAAAGAATGACCTGTGAGCTCCTGCATAGCTGATATCAGGTTAAAGATATTATATATCTTTATTTGTAAAAAATAAAAACAAGTCCAATACTTTATTTTACCTATTCCAAGATACATATATTTTCACTTTTTAACATCTCTGAAATTGAAGCAATTGATGTTTTTCAGCTTCTTCCACTGCTTAGTACTTTTGATGTAATGGCTGTTGTCTGCTTACCTACAAACTTGGTTGTTACTCTTGGTTGAATGACTGGACAACTGAAACCCAAGGACATTTCAGTCAGCCAATCACTTAAGCAACATTTGCACAAGAAATATGAATCCTAATTGTTGTCTGAAAACCTTCCATCGACACCTTTCCATAAGAACAAGAAAGTGTCGACATAAAAGTTTGTAGAATCGATGTCAGAAGGTTGAAAGAAAATCTTAGGAAAAAAATGAAGCCCTGCCTCAGCACTGCTGCATTGCCACTGCTTTTATGTTAATTTTATTTTATTTATGTATGTATTTATTTATTTAGAGCATGAGCGGGGGCGGGGCAGAGGGAGAGAATCTCAAGCTGACTCTGCGCTGAGCACAGAGCCCCACCTGGAGCCAAATCTCACCACCCTGAGATCATGACCTGAGCCGGAACCAAGAGTCAGACACTTAACTGACTGAGCCACTCAGGTGCCCCTGCCACTGCTTTTGATGGCACAGAGGGTAATACTGCATTGAGAAACACAGTTCATCAATTTTTCAGAGTTGAAAAGTGATTCCAGAAGACAGACTATGAATACGATGACATTTTGGACTACCTTAACTGAATTGTTTCCCTTTAAAGCAAAGCTTTTATATATGATAAAAAAGAAAATCAATGTTTATTTTTTTTTTAAGATTTTATTTATTTATTTGAGAGACAGAGAGAATGAAAGAGAGAGCACATGAGATGGGGGGAGGGTCAGAGGGAGAAGCAGACTCCCCGCTGAGCAGGGAGCCCGATGCGGGACTCGATCCCGGGACTCCAGGATCATGACCTGAGCCGAAGGCAGTCGCTTAACCGACTGAGCCACCCAGGCGCCCCGAAAATCAATGTTTAAATAAACAAAATAGGGGCGCCTGGGTGGCTCAGTCGTTAAGTGTCTGCCTTCGGCTCAGGTCATGATCCCAGGGTCCTGGGATCGAGCCCCGCATTGAGGTCCTGGGATCGAGCCCTGCATAGGGCTTCCTGCTCAGCGGGAAGCCTGCTTCTCCCTCTCCCACTTCCCCTGCTTGTGTTCCCTCTCTCGCTGTCAAATAAATAAAGAAAATATTTTTAAAAAAAGTGAATAAATAAATAAATAAATAAATAAATAAAGCAAAATAAGCCCTTTAATGAGGGCTGAGTGATAAGAAAGTATTGTGCCATAGATTAACTTGTACCATTATTTTCTTTCTCAGTGGAATATAAAATAATGGTGTACCCTATAATCTGTGGTGTCTTAGATTCAATGAGAATGGTCATATTATATTTGTATAAGTGCTTCATGGTTTATATATTAACTCATTTTCATCATCATAATAACCTTATAATATCAGGAGCAGAATATTAGCCCCAGTTTTATATATGGGAAAAATAAGGCAGATGAAATAACCTACTCAAACAGCTATAGAATCAGGATAAGGATTCATCCTAATTCAGTCCTCTAGAATAAGCCTAAAATCCATTTTTTCCCTCTAAAATTACAAGGCTGATCTCAATCTTAGTGCTACTGTTTTATATATATATATATAAAAGCAGCTTTGATGAGAATGGACACAGTAGTTCAGGATAAACATTGAATATGTCTCCCTTTTGGCAAGGAAAGTGAATTGTCAGGGTTTTAACAATAATAAATCACTATTACAAACAGCCTACAAATATAAAAGATGTTAAACAAATAATACACGTTGTATTACTCAGGATGGTTAATGCTGGCTGTCCCAGAGGTCAAACCCTGAATCCTTAGTGGCTTAACCAACAAAAATTTCTATCTCACACATGTCATATATCTAGCACAGGGTGACAGGTGGTGAAGGTCGTGTGTCGTTCCACCCCTTCACTCAGTAGCCAACAGGACTCAGGTTCTCCCATCTTATAGCTGTACCATGGGCAATATGTAACCTCCAAGCTTGCTGTGACAGGGTAAAAAGGGTTATGGGAGGCTTATTAGCTTATAACTTGTTCAGTCTGAAAGTGATGCCTGCAAGTGATACAAGTCACTTCTTTCACAGGCCATTAGCCAGAAGTAATCACAGAACCCCAACCTACCTGAAGGGAGGCTGGGAAATGCAGAGCAGCAATGGAATATTTGGTGAGTACTGTCCATACCACAGTAGTCCTATAATTATTTCCTTGAGGGCAAGAATCTGTTTTATGTACTGATATCCCCTAATATCTAGAATCGTGTCTGGCTTCCAGTGTTCACTAACAATTATTGAATGAATAAATCAATGAATTAATAAATGGCATCTGAAGCTGTTTTTCCTCATTTCAACTATGAATCTGAAAAGTTTTCAGAAAGAATTAAGGTATTCAAGTTCAGGTTAACATTTCAGAAACACCTAGTGTTGACAAGAAGACAACGTTTTGATAAGAATTTATTTGAAGTTGGCAAACTCATTCTAAAATGTAATTACAAATTACATGAAATCTTTTCTATGGGAGCTTAATGATTCTTTAAATTGACTAAAATATGAGGAAATACAACACTCGACTCTAAAAGCCAGTTTGGATGGTTGGTTTCATTTAAAAAATGAACACAGACTGCAATCTTCCTAGAAATGATCGCTTAGGGAGTTGGGAACAATTTGCCATGATGATAAGAATTTAGACTGTGGTGATATGAGAAGGCAAGCAGCAGTCAGGCATGGGGAAAGCATAATAAGTAGCCGTCCTTTTGGCTCTAATTCAACACCTGTTCTTAACATTACCTGCATGATAGGAGGGCACAGAAAGTTCAATATTTGGTTTTCACAAAGGAATCTCAAAGTGATTATAAGATATAATTCATCATTTATTCAACAAATGTTTATTAAGTACCAAATATGTGCACACACAATGCTTGGTGCTGGAGATTCAGGTGCAAAAGACAGAGTCCTACCACAATGGAACTTAGAGTCTAATAGGGAAGCTAGACACTGAACTATATAATAAGCATGACATAGGTTGCGAAAGGGGAAGTAACAGGTACTATGGCGTGAACTGGGAAACTTCTTGGTTTTCAGCAGTAAGAAAGTAGGATCAGGGAAGATCTCAAGAAACTGATGTTTGGGGGCGCCTGGGTGGCTCAGTTGGTTGAGCGTCTGCTTTCGGCTGGGGTCATGATCCCAGGGTCCTCGATTGAGCCCCACATCGGGCTCCCTGCTCAGCGGGGAGCCTGCTTCTCCCTCTGCCTGCCACTCCCCCTGCTTGTGCTCTCTCTCTATCAAATAAATAAACAAAATCTTTAAAAATAAATAAATGAATTAAAAAAACTGATGTTTGAATTTAAATACCGAGAATAAGGAGGATTTGGCATGGAAAAGCAAGGGAAAGAATTCCAGATGGAGGGAATAGCTTGTCTTCACAACCCCACTAGGAAATCTCAATAGGATTATATGCTTAATCATATAGCTGGAGAAGTGGTAGAAGAAAGTGACTTGTTCAAGGGATGATGTTTAACAAATAGTTTAATTAGGACCCTAAGCCATATTCTTTTCTTTACAAAGCATGGCACACAATTGTCTAAGGCAGATTCTTTCCTGACCCAAACATAACTGAGCTCACTCCCGTAAGCCCATCAGGTACATCAATCAGCCATGAACCAGACTGATGTAACAGATATAAATTTTCAGCCTGTTTCACAGCACGCAGGATAAGAAC